ACAAAAAGACTCAAAATCTATCTCTTCTAATTCATCTTCAATTGCCTTCATAGAATCTATTATTTGATAGTGCAATAAATTTTCCGTAGTATCACTAGCATAGTAAGGCAATTCCTGTTTCGCATTTGTGATATAAAAAGTGTGCAGCTTGCACATCCCTTCTACTCGTTCTAGTGATAAATTAGTATGCCTTTGACCATAAAACCAACCAAAAATAGAAAAAGATCGCTCACATGAAGCACTATGTGTAGTTATAGCAAAGATTCGAAGTGCTAATGCCTGTAACTCCCAATCTACTTTGGAATTTCGGGCTGTTTCCCACCAATTAATAGCTGTATCAGAATTAAAATTATATAGTTGATCAAAAGGAGGTCTTCTAAGTTTATATTTTCGTAATTGGCTAAGTAATTTGCTGCACGATTCTTGATCATGCCCCATATCTTTCCAAATTTGTGCAGCTTTAATAGTAATATCATGAAATTTTCCAAAATCAATACCATCACCTAAATTAAAAAAAATATACAAATATATTTTAATTAATAATTATATTTATATAATAATAATACATATTAAAATATATATAATAAATTTACCATGATATCCAGGATGTAAAAAAAATGCCAAAAGATAAGTATCATTTGAAAATTCATTCCAACGTTTATTATATTTTTCAATACAATAATTTTTAAACTCCAAGTTTCTATTTGGTAAATAATAAATTGCACTCGCTAATGATACTAAATGAACATAGCAATCTGCAAGAGTTGAAGTTCTTGATTCCAAACACCCAACTGAAATTTTAAGAGGATAAAGGACTGATGCAACTATCCGACAATTTTTATAAAAATCCAAATCATTTAAAATATCTTTAATATGATTTGAAAGATCATTTCCATGTTCTGAGAGAATCTATATAACGATAAGTAAAAAAAATATATTAATAGGTTTGATTTATGTTTTTAATTATTTATTAATTTATTAATATACATACTCTTATAAAAGCAAATTCAAGTCTTACAATCGAATCAAAACAATCCCACATTGTGGACCACCGAGTTTTTGTATGGCTTTTTAAAGTTCCTCCTTTAATTTGCAAAATTTTAATTGCATCATCTAAAAACTGACATGCCGCATGAGATTTTGTAAAGTATTTATGAAGAACACCTATTTTACGAATCATTTCTACAACATATTTATGTTT